ATGCTGTTGTTGAGGGGGAGCTTCTCCCAGTCTGCTCAAGCACCAGGCTGCGTCTGGACGGGGCCAAACTCACGGCTCCCCTAAACCAAGGGGCCACTGAGCTCCTCTGCCCATGGGTGGTCCCTCCTGCCCCCCCATGCTGCCTGCACAGGGTGAGGAATGACATGCACTGACAGCAAATAGCCTCTACACTCAGACCTCAGCCTCTCTGTCTGATCTCTTCAGAGCTTGCAGTTCAAGGGACACTTCTGATTTCTCCTCTGTACAAACCCAAGCAGTGCTGTGAACCCTCTCCACCTCCACACCGTGGTGGGTCTCATTCTCCATGGGGATGGCTCCTGAGGAGCCACAAGAGGTGGCAAAGAAATACTCGCTCCCATAGGTGCTGCAGCACCAGTCTGCCCAGACAATCCTGGTATGAGGGCCTTGCCTTCCCCACAACCCACACAAGCAGCATACCACCAAGGAAGAATGGAGGCCTGATGCCACAGCAGTTTCCCACCCCAGAAGCCTCCATCAGAGATTCCCAGAGCAGCACTCAGCAGAGAACATCACTCACAGCTCAAAGCAGAGCCTGGGTTGACTTGGATGAAGGCACCCAGCAGGGCTCAGTTACCTCCAGGTCTGTCAGTGACCACAGTAAGGGCAGAGCCCAAGGACCAGCAGAGCACAGCCATAGAGCACACAAGATCTGCTTCCAAGTGGGCACCATAAGTTTGATGCAGGTAGAACTGAACGGCTCCATTCTCACCAGGCCACACAAAAGGAAGCCACAGTCAAAGGGACAACCCACTTTCTGCTCTGACGTCTGGGGCTGCTGAGAGAAGCCACCCAAGGAACAGCAGGAGCTCATGAGCATCTCCAAGACACAGAAGCAACAGAGAGCACCTATTCCTCATCAGTCCAAGCCCAGCTAACTCCCTCCATTTCCTTTTATAGGGCCCAGGGAGCTAGAGAGCCCTAGGCTGCTGCTGGTCCTGATGATTAACTCACTGATGGTTTACATCCCTGCAAATGACCCTCACCTGAGTCTCCATCCCAGCCATCCCCTGAGCCAAAACAGAGGTCCTCAGAGCCAGGCACCAGCACTGCTTACTCCATCAGCCCCAAACTGAGTCCTGGGAGCCTCATGGGTAGCACTCGATGTCGATTCCTCCTGGGGCTGCTACTCATATGTCTGGGCTCTCCCTCCTCACCGAAGTGATGTGTGGACCTTGCCCAGGAGCCTGGTCCCAGCCTCCATCCAAGGCTGCACACCCCCTGAGGGGGCTGTTTGGGATGACCTCCCTCCTCAGTGACCCTTTCCTGCGGGTGGAATTCCACCTGTGAGACTTCATGATTTCCAGTTCCTTTCCAGCAACACCATCAGGCCCAAGCGCTCAAAGTGAGGTCCCACCACCCCCTTCCCGCCCTCAGGCTTCATTCCTCCCCTTCCAACCCAAACTATTCTGTGATTCTCCCATGGGAGCTGGGGAGCACAGTCCCACTTCCCACCCCATGGACAAGCAGGACCTGCTCTGATTTACTAGCCCCATAAACCCTCATAGCATCCCCAGCCACCCATGTTGATGCCAAGGAGATGCAGCTCCGTGACTTCACTGGCTCTGGGTCTGCCGGCTGCCCTCTTGTAAATGTTTCCCTATGGGTCCTGCAGGACAATGAGAGGTTCAGAGGGGTATGACCCTCCCAGCACTGTCTGTTCTCTGTATTCAGTTACACCAAGGTGTAAACGGTGCCACAAGCTCCTTGGTTTGGGCTGGGCTTTGGAGAAGAGCGGAGCTGTGCGCAAGGACGGGTCTGATGCTCGGGACGTGACCTGTGCTCCGGGGGGAAAGTGCTGACTCCGAAATCCTGTTTACAGGCACTGACGTGGCGTTTTCTAGCCCAGGATGTTGCTTCCTCTCCGTGTGGGGCCTCAGTGGGGCACCCGCTTCCTCAAGAGGCCGGATTCTCATCACATCCCGTGCACCGGCCGTGGGTCGATACCGGACCCAGGCACACGGGCAGCTATGGGTGATGTGACCGGCACTTGCTGTGCCAGTGCAGGACATCTATGGTGGTCTCCCTGCCACAGGCAAAGCCCGTGTACTCACTGGGGGCTGTGGCATGAGCCAGCTCACACTCTCCAGCCCTTCCATCATCCAGGCCCAGCTTACTGCCCCTCTATAGGAGGCAAAGCCAGGCTCGAAACATCCCCTCCTTCCCAACGCACTGGATGGAGAGGAGCAAGGAGGAGCCTTAACAAAGCTCCTGGGGCCTGCAGCAGAAAAGGAAGGGGCTCCCTCCCTCCTCTTCCTCCCTCCCACACGGGGAGCTTGCAGCCAGGTAAACACAGGATGTTGATGAAACAGGCTCAGAGGACTGGGCAACGATGGAGCCAGCCCAGCTCGGGGCAGCAAACAGCACCCAGAGGGGAATGGGCGATGCCAGGGCCAACTGCACCGCCCCCCCTTCCCATCCCCAGGGTGAGCATCATCACCGTGCTCCAGGATGCAGGCTTTGACACCCACCACCACAACCATGTGGGTCCCTCTGAACACCGGGGTCCCACAGGGTGCAGGGATGGGGGTACAGACCCCCAGGATGCTCAGCACCCACGGCTCAGGGCTGGCACTGCAGGGACAGGCTCTCCCCTGCTCCGGTACAGGGTGTGCTGTGCAAAATGTGGCTGTTGGACAAGGGACAGGAGGGAAGATGGGAGGGGAAAAAAACCCAACAGCCTTGTTTTGATGTTTCTTGGATGCCTCAGACCCGTGGTTAGTCAGCGTTGGCTGCCTCGCAGGGCTCTGCAGCACAGCCTCACGATGTCAACTGGCTATTGCAGGGGTCACAGCTTCTTCTCAGGGCTCCGGTGAGCACGGGATAGGGAAGATTTGGGGCTGCTTATGAGCACTTGGAAGGGTTTTCCCAGAGAATGGAGCAGCTGGAGGATGGGATGCGATGGGCATCTCTGGTTTTGCAGTACCAGGATGCTCATGGCCCCTTTGAGGGGTTCCCTGGAGGTGGCATGATGCTGAACTGGTCCACACTGGGCTCTGCGATCAGGGGCACCCCATCCCTCTCCCTGGCAGTGAATTGGGCACCCAGGAAACGGCTGAACGCAGGAGAGTGTTTGGCTCCCAACCCAGAAACAGGGCTATAGACCGGAGAGCAGAAGGGACCCATCCCCTAGGCAGGGACCACGGCTGGAGCAGCAGGAAGGATCAGGGTGAGGGAAGCGGGGATGTGATGTAGGGGTGCAAGGACAGAGATGCCAAAGGGGCTGCCTGCTTCCTTAGAGCAAGAGTGGAGGAGCCTGTGGCACTGTCCCCAGGGTCCCCAGTGTCCCCCTTTATACTGCTGCCATCTGCTGGCAGGACCCAATCCTGCTCCGGTCCTGAGTCCAAACACTGTGCCAAAGCCTTGGGGACCCCTTTGTGACCCCACTGTCCTGCACCCCGCTCCCAGGCACACCGGGCATTGCAGCATCATGCATGGCTTCGAATGGACACCCCAAGGTGCCCCCCTAAACCTCTCTGCTGTGAGTCCAATGAAGCTGCACCCCAAAACTGCTCTCAGTATCCATGTGTGGTCCTCACCCCACACTAACCTGCTCCCTGGATTGCAGGTTTTTCCCATGTCAGACCCTTTCCAGTGCTCTGACACCCCCATGCCCAGCTCACCCCCATCATTGCCTTGTTGTACACGACACAGATTTCAGACCATCCCATCTGTGCTGGTGGACACAGGGACAGGATCGAGCCCTTGGCCAGCAGCAGGGTTACAGCAGTGGCTCTGCTGTGGGGCTGGTTTCTGCCGGGAGCATCCAGCTCTGCTCTGGCCAAGCAGCAGAGGAAGCCCAGCCCCGAGATAGCATCTTCCTGCTGCAGTCCTGTCCCCTGGGTCCTGCCAGGCCATGGGGATCTGCTGAGTCCTGTCCCTAGGACATACCGAGCCTATTCCCACGGCCTTCCCAGCGTTTCCGCTTCCCTTGGGAACAGCAGGTCCTGAGGCCGTGTTGGGGATAACCATTGAGGGCATGTGGGGACAGCCAGGGCCACCCTCTCCGCTTCCCATGGGCAGCGAGACATTGAAAATGGCCTCAATGAGGTGTTACACGGTGTTTGCTCTTTGGATGCGCTTGGAAAGTGTCTTGGATGCACTTGGGAATGGTTGGAGAGACAAACCCAAACCCCACCAAGGCCCTGCAAGCACCACGGCTCATCCCTCCCCGGGCAGATGGCAGCGGCATCCTGCTCCTCACTGGAAAATGCCCAAGTGCATGGGCAGGGATTGAGCTGCAGCTGTCCCTGCTTTAATTCCTCAGAGCAAAGCAAAACCAGCATCCGGAGGATTTTCTGTGGGCTTCATGTCCCGGCCCACACACACGCCGGGAATGCTGCACGGCATCGGAAACCTTCCCGTTGGGAATGACGCCTTGCATGTGAGCCCTGCGGACTCAGGGCCTGATGCCCACAAGAGCTGCAGGAAATGGTTTTAGACTAAAAGGGATTATTTTTTTCCCCTTATTTCTGTGGAAAAAAAAAAAAAAAGGCTGGAAAAAAAATCAACCCCCAAAGGGCCACAACTGAAAAAGCCAATGGCAATGATGCTGAAACCTTGCTGGTGAGAGCTGGGACCTCACATGGAGTTTTCGGTCTGATTTCCAAAGGAATGAGGTTGTGCCTCCACCATTCCTTCCTGTGCCTCTGCCCAAGACACCCCTTCCCATCAAGGCACTTTTCAAAGCCCGTGAAGGCAGCTCAACCCTTACAAGACATCCGAGACTCCCCCATTGGCATTACCTGCCAGCCATGCTCTCCAGGCACGTTTCACCCACATCCATGACCGGTGCACCCAGCTCATCACCATCCTTTTCCCTTCCAACACCCATTGCCACCCATGGCCCATGGCAGAGGTGATGGCACCAACCAATGTGACCGGATCCTTCTACCGATGGGCCCCTGGTATCTGGGCGGGCCGGAACATCTCCCCCTCCCCAGCACATCTGGGCAGCTGTGCCTGTGTGGTGCTCATGCTGACATCAGCACAGCTTCCTGCCGCCGGCACCGCTGCGCCGTGTGCTCACCCCTGCACCCCTCAGAGCCATCCTGTCACAGCCAGAGCCATGGAGTCGGTGGCTCTGTACAGCTTCCAGACGACAGAGAAGGACGAGCTGCCCTTCCACAAAGGGGACACCCTGAAGGTACATGGGCAGGGGGGGTCACCAGCCATTGGAGGGGGGGGTTGGAGTAAGCACGTGGCATGGGGGTGCTTTCCTTGTTGCCTTTATGGGGCTTTCCATGGTGTATAAGGAGCCAGACTTGAGGCGTTTGGGGTGCGCAGCATCATCCCCAGTAGCGGTGGGTACCACTTTGTGCCACCGGTCACATCTCCAGCAAGGACCCAGCTGGGCCTTGGCATGTCACCTCCCTGACCACCAGTTATGCTTTGCTACAGCCCCCCAGGGCTGGAATATGTTTTCCCTTCCCCATGGAACCACTGAGGGCCGCAGGAACCCCACACCCGGGAGCGTGTGCGCAAACACCCTCTGCATCAAGGTGGGCTCTTTGATGCCACTTGGGAACCCCAAAAACCTTCCTGGGGGCTCAAACCATCCCCAGGGAGCTGCAGCCCTGTGATGGGGGTGAGGGCACCCCCATCCTGCCACGCCACCCAGCACTAACCCCTCTCCATGGGGCCGATGCTGCGGTACCCAGCACCCTGCAGCCAGCCCTGGGCAGGGTGAGTGCATGGCCATGCCCCTGTGCCCCCCCTGCCTTCCCAGTGTGTTTTCCCCATCCCCATGCCCCGGGTTTCGGATCCTGTTTGCTCAGCGGTGCCGGCCCCAGCGTGGGAGGCTGGAAAACCGTGTGGGAAGCGGGTGTCAGCACCCGGCAGCACCGGGGCCCTTCCTCCCACAGAGCACCCAACTGCAACCACCCCAGGGGACACAGGGGCCTGGCTGCCACCTCCAGGGATGGGGTTTACCTTTATCCTTGGCTGGGGGTTTGGGGCACCCTGCAATTGCCAGCATTTGTGAGCTAAGGAGGGCTGGGGGAGCAGGCAGGCTCTACAGGTGCCCCCAGACCACATCACTGTTGTCAGAGCCCCCTTTTCACCAGGACTCATAGAATGGGTTGGGTTGGAAGGGACCTTAAAGCTCATCCAGTTCCAACCCCAGCCATGGGCAGGGACACCTTCCACTAGGGCAGGTTTAGGTGGGGAATATGGGGTCTGGGGCAGTGATGGGGGTCCCACTCAGCTCCTCTCCCAGTAGCTCCTGTCCCACCTTAGATCCTCAACATGGAAGATGACCAGAACTGGTACAAGGCTGAGCTGTATGGCTGTGAGGGCTTCATCCCCAAGAACTACATCAAGGTCAAGCCTCACCCGTAAGTACCATCCACGACACATGGAAACAGAGCTTGAAACCCTGCTCTGGTAGCACCCACCAGCACCAGGACATCCTCTCCCACCACCCAGGCTGTGATCCCCACACCCCATGCCCATCGGTCTGCACAAGCCAGAGCGGTCCCACACGTGGGGAAACTGAGTCACAGAGCGATGGGGTGTGCGTGCCAGGTCAGTGTGCCCATGCCAGCACAGCCAGAGGGGACGGGAGGCAGCAGCACATCCACATCCCCCTGACACAGAGCGATGCAACCCTCACACGGGGCTGCCCGCTAAATAAATGGTAATTGGGGAACAACGAAGCGCTATGGGATTAGGAGTGCATTAGACACAATCCTATTACTGTGTTATTAAAGCCCAGCCTAATCCACCCCTGTTTTAACCTGTGTTTTATGTATCATTATCCCCTGGTACATCGCATGTAAATGCCACAGCAAAACCTGCCCAGGGCTGCAGGCAGCCCGAGGCACATCCCATTGCCTCTCTGGTTTGGGTTAACAAGCTGGGGCGGGCAAGACACAGCCTCTTGTGTGCAGAGCATGGAGGGATGGCACTGGGAGATGTGCAAAAGTCCGTGGGTCATTGTTCCTGGGGCAGTTTTAACAGGCAGCAAAAGGTCTGCACGCCCTGGGGCTCCTCAAATGCACAGACACAGCCTTGGCAGGGATGGGAGATGGGGACTCTGCTCCTCCACGTTGTTCCAGCAGCTGCCTGCAATGCAGGCAGGCAGGGTTTCATCCTGCATGGAGGATTTACTGCCCTGCAACCCTCTCTGGCAGGGCTGTTCCCATAGGGAGACATGGGGAGGAGTGAGGTGATAGACAGCGAAGTAGGGGATGAGGCACATGAGCTGGTGACAGGATGTGGTCACGGCTGTCATTGACGCTGCACTAACCCCATACGGATAAGGCAGCACGTGGGGACACGTCTGCACCCACAGCACCTTGTGACAGCACTGTGATAAACTGGGGGGAAGGGATCCATCCCCTTCAGGGATGTCCCAGCCCCATAGGGAGCCAAATGGGGACCCTGCTCCCACCGGTACCAGGGCTCTCGGTGCCTCCGTCCTGCAGCGATGGAGCATTGGGGTGTCCCTTGCTGCCCTGATCCCGGTGTCCCTCGCAGGTGGTATCGGGGAAGGATCTCCCGGCATCTGGCAGAGGAGCAGCTCCTCCAGCGCAAGCACATCGGAGCCTTCCTGATCCGAGACTGTGAGAGCGCTCCGGGGGAGTTCTCCATCTCCGTCAAGTGAGTGGCTATGGGATGCGGATGGACGCACAATGGGACGGGAAGGGATCCCCCGCAGCGCCTGCTTTTGGGACCAAAGGCATCAAGGCCACCCTTGTGCATAGTAGTGCTGGGGATGGGGTGAGCATCCTGCCCTGTCCTGGTCACCTCCAAGGGGCTGGGGGCTGCAGATCCATGTCCCCAAGACATCAAGGAGCAGCTTCACACAGGGCCTTCCCCTTCTTCCTCCCCTCGGCAGCTTCACGCTCCGCCTCCATCCCCACCGCTTCCTGCTCCCTGCCTGCACCACGGGCTGGATCTGGGTCCCTCATTGGGGTGCCCCTCAACACAGCCGTGTGGGTAACAACAGCACCGGGGCCAAGCTGTGAGCACAGCCCAGGGGACATGGCCTGGGGGAGCGCGTTGCCCAGAGCATCCCAAAGGACGCCGGGCTGCAGCATCCCAGTGCCGTGGGGCTGATGACTTTGGCATGGGCAGCAGGGCTGCGTGAAGGCAGCGTGCCAAAGGGCAGAGCCTGCCCCAGGGCCTCTCACCCCATCGCTGCCCCTTCCCTGCCCGGGGCCAGGGTAGCAGGAGCCAGCCCCGGGCCAGGCAGGCACTTTCTCACGCTGCTAATCTCTAATTAAGCATTTAAGGAGGTTCTTGCCCTTAATGAAAGGGAGCCCTGCTCTGCCCTGCGTCTCCAGCCAGGCCAGCTCCCTGCCCCTGCCCGGGGGCCTGGCACTGGTAGGTCAATGCAGCAGCCCCATGCAGTGCAGGCACCCCAATGTGCCACACCGAGGGGTGACAGCAATCGGGGCTGGCAAAGGAAGTCCCTACCTGCAGCTTGGGGGTCCCAAGGGATTTGGGAGCCCAATCCGAGCCTTTGCTGTCTCCTCCTGGAATGTGCTGAGCTGAGAGCTGCAGCTCTCCCCACATTCTCTTCCGACGTGGCTCCTCTTTGATCCCTGCTGGAATTAGGTCTGGTGGCTGCCAGCATCCCGAGGCCAGGGTAACGTCCATCCTCCTTCCGCAGCTACGGGCAGCACGTCCAGCACTTCAAGGTGCTCAGGGAGAGGAATGGCAAATATTACCTCTGGGAGGAAAAGTTCAACTCCCTCAACAAGCTGGTGGATTTCTACAGGACCACCAGCATCGCCAAACAGCAGCAGATCTTCCTCCGGGATGAGGACCAGGGCCAGGAGGTACCGTCAGGGGATGAGGCCATGGGGATGCGCAGAGCTGGGGCGATGGCATCGATGGGCTGGGAGCCCCTTTGGGATAGATGAGATGCTAGGAGGGAGTTCTGCCCTGTGAGGGTGCTGAGGCGCTGGCACAGGGTGCCCAGAGAAGCTGTGGCTGCCCCATCCCTGGCAGTGTTCAAGGCCAGGTTGGACACAGGGGCTTGGAGCAAGCTGCTCCAGTGGAAGGTGTCCCTGCCCGTGGCAGGGGGTGGAGCTGGAGGAGCTTTAAGGTCCCTTCAACCCAAACCAGGCCGGGATTCTAGGATTCTATGAAACCAAATGACCCAGCTCTGAGCAGACACCAGCTCCAGCCCCCTCTGGGCGCAGGCTCCCTCATCACCATCAGGCAAAGCATCCTGGGTCCAGTCCCAGACCCCTTCATAACCCCCACTTCGAGGCTCAGTTTCCCCCATAGAGGAGGACAGGGCTGGCACTTGGCCCTGTGCTCAGGATGGGACCAAGGCAGTGTCAAGCAGAAGATGCTGTGCTGTGGGGATGCAGCAGGGTGGAGAAAGCCTCCAGTGCAGCTCCGCAGGGCAGGGCAGCTCCCCTGGGCCCATGGCACCATCCCTGAGGCCAGGGGTGATGCCTGGGGCAGGTGGCACAGCCTGACCAGTGCGGGATCGGGCACAGGCAGCTTCGGGCCAGCTCCAGCAAAGCCAAACCCTGGGGCGGTGATGGTGGAGGTGGCAAAACCAGGCCTGGGAGCTGGGCTGGGGTGGCTCCAGCACCCAGAGGGACCCAGGAAGGACCCAGGAAGGAGAGAGGTGCCAGCTGCCCCGAGCAGGGGATCCTGGGCTCCAATCTTGGCTCTCCCAGGCATCCTTGTTCCTTGGGATGCTCCCCTGCACCCCAGGCTCTGCCCTGCACTAGAGGCTGTCCCCAGCACTCCAGCTCTTCCCATGGAAGGATTCCTCTATCTCCCACCTCCTGTCCTCAAAGCGAGCATCCCAGGCACCCCCACACCCTCCATGCTCTCACCTCCCAGGGCTGGTCCTCACTTCAGCGTGTCACCGCATCCCCATCACAGCGGGGACTCAGGCAGCACAACCCGGAGCAGAGGGGCTGGCAGAGGGGGCTCCCCTCCCTTCACCAACCCCTGCCCTTGGCTTTCCCTCAGGTGAGGAGACCCAGGTTCGTGCAGGCTCAGTTTGATTTCTCCTCCCACGACTGCTCCCAGCTTCCTTTCCTCCGCGGGGACATCATCGAGGTCCTGGACTGCCCCGACCCCAACTGGTGGCAGGGGAAGATCTACGGGCGCATCGGCCTCTTCCCTCGCAGCTACGTGCACCCCATCTGCAAGTGAGCTGCTGCGGGCAAGCAGGGGGGGGACCACGGCCCCGCTGCCCCCCCACTCACCGGAGCTGCTTTGGCCCTGGACGTGGACTGCACATCCCCTTGTCCCCATGGATGGTGCCCGTCCCTCCGCAGGGCTGGCGACACACAAGGACTCAGTGCCATGGGGGCTGTGCTGGAGGTCGTGGCCAGGATCACAGCGATCCCCATCCAAGGGTGCCCATTTCCAGCACCCTGAAACGTCGGCTCTCCCTGTTCCCTGCCCAGGAGACCTCCAACATTCCCAGCCCAGGCATCGCCTCTCATTGGGAGCAGCACAGAGCGCTGGACCACGGCCAGAAAACCTTCTCCAGAGCCCCAGCCTGATGGGGTGGCAGCTATGGAGGGGATGAGAATGTGTCCCCCAAACCTTCGCTCCTCTCCAGGGCAAGGAAAGCCTGGGTTCCAAGCAGGGCTGCAGGCAGCCGGGATGCAGCCAGGCTTGGTAACCCCATGGAGGGATGCTGGGAAAGGCTGATCCAGGGGGTTCAGTCCTGTGGGTGCTGTAAATAGCCGCACATTGTACCTTTGGTGATGGTAGTTCTATTCAGAGCTGGTAAAACGTGTTCGGTGACAGCCTCGGGGGTGGCTGCTCCTTTTCCACCATCGCACAGCAGGATCCATGTGGCTGCTGCCCCACCGTGGCTTTGCTTCCCCTGCAGCCCCATTCACCCACCCCGATACCTCCCCCCAGAGCCTTTCCTGACCCCACAAATACCCCCCAACACCTCACAACCCCCTGGGATGCACTCAGTGTCCGCAGCACTGAGAACACCCAGCTCATTGCACTGATTGATTTAACCATCCCAAGTCCCAAATGCAACAAGTAAAAACTATCCCCCAAATCCCCATTTCCCCCCATTCCCAGCACCTTTCCTCCCTCCAGGGGCTGGCAGGCCATTAGGCAAAGTGGGCATAGCAGAAAACATTGACACACATCAGGATAACGGCGTTGATGCTGCAGATGCGGGACCAGAAGAGGGGCTCTGTGGTGTCCTTGAGGGCCATGGGTGGGAGTCCCTCGGCCTTTGATGGCTGCTGGCTCTCCGGGGTGACTGAGCAGGAGCCTGGCACAGGAAGACAGTGATTGCAGGGGATATTCCCTACAGGGGATAGGACTATGGGGAAACTGAGGCACAGGGGCATCCATGCTGCCCATTACAGGCAGGGAATGGGGAGCACTGAAGATGCCTCCCCTGCCAGACACCCCAAGCACACACTCACCAACATGGGATCCATGGGATGTGCCATCCATGGAGAGCTTGAGGGGATCCCGTGGGAGGGTCAACCACGTGAGATCCTTCAGCTAGAAATAGGGTTAGATTTGGTGTGACAACACCTCAGGGTGAGACCCTCCCATAGGGACCCCCTGGCTGAGATTGGGGTGCTTTACAAAGAGGAAGCAGCCTGAGTGTAAAATGCACACCCTGACCCAAGGGGCAGGAGAAAACCCCTGTGTTTGGTAGGTCTTTAACCCACAGAGGACGCAAACAGGACATGGGGAAACACTGGAGTGTGTGAGCTGGGGGCGCCGGATGGATGTGCCCTGGTCCATGCGCATCCTGAAGCGGGGATGCAGGCAGGGATGGAGGGCAAAGCCTGGCACAGCTTCCTAAGGAGATATTGGGGGGGGGGGGGGGGGGGGATTTGTGAAGGGCTGGGTGTGTGCTCTCATCACCACATCATTGCCTTGGCACCGAGCTCACACCAAACATCAGTGGGGATTTACAGCTGGGCACCATGGCCATGGCAGAGCTCAAACCCACAGGTCTAGGAACCGGGAGCTCTCTCCAGTCCCGGACAAATCCCTTCTCTCCCCGTGCTGAGCTGAATGGAGCATCCCCACCCTGGTGGGTCCGGGGGGTGGTTGGGACCCCTTAATGGGCAGCTAGAAATCATGGAATCATGGAGTCACGGAATGGTTTGGGTTCTAAGGAACCTCAAAGACCAATTGGTTCCACGGGCAGGGACCCCTTCCACTGGAGCAGGGTGCTCCAAGCCCCTGTGTCCAACCTGGCCTTGAGCACTGCCAAGGATGGGGCAGCCACAGCTTCTCTGGGCACCCTGTGCCAGCGCCTCAGCACCCTCACAGGGAAGAGCTCCCTTATATCCAACCTAAATCCCCCCAAGTGATTTGCAGGCAGAAACCCCTCAAACTTGCATCTGAAAACACCTTTTTCCCCCTCTCCACAACGTTCCCCATTTGCTGTACCCCTATGGGGCCGCAGGGGTGGGATTTGCAGCGCTCTGCTCACACAAACCCCCCGATGCGCTCCCGAGCAGCCCGGCACGGACTGAATCAGTGGCAGTGCCCCCCCCCCCCGACCTCGGGATGGGCAAACCCATTGCAAACCCCATCGCCCACCCTTGGGAGAGCCCTGCGCAGCCACCGCACCCCTTGCCACCACCGAAGCAGCGCCACGGAGGCTCGCACCCCGCTTCCCATGGAGCAGCCGTGCTGGACCTCGGATCCCAGCATCGCTGCGCATCCCCTGCCCGCCCTGCAGGACAGGGAAGGTGCCAGCAAAAGGCTGCTCCTGGAGCTGCCGAACCAGCCGAGCCTCCCCGCAGCCCTGACCCACATTCCCTCCCTGTGATTGTGCGCCCCGAGCCGGGGCCGCTCCCCGCGCACCGCAGCACCGCACCGGGCCATTCCCCAGCGCTGACTCCGTCGCCCCGAGCAGCGCCCCGAGGGCACGGTGCCGGGCTCCCCGCCGGCATCCGGCATCCCATGGGAGCGTGGGGAAGGTCTCCCATGCTCTTGGCTGGTGGGAACCTTGGAGGAGGTAAGGGAGAGGCTTCGCGCTAAGCGCATCCTGGCCGCTCCGAACGCCCCGTCTGCTTTTCCAGTGCTTCCATACATAATCCAAGGGCTTGTTCTCCATTCCTAAAGCTGCTGCAGGCTCCCGGGCACAAAGGGCAGATCACAGAGGGCCAGACCGGCCCCACCGGTCTCCCCAAGACCCACAGTGTCCCAGGAAGCCGCAGTCCTACCTGGCCACCAAAAGCAGCTCCCACTCGCCAGCCCCTGGCCTCAGCTTCCTCCAGATGCCCACGGTGAAGAGGGTGCTGCTGCTGTTGAATACGGAGGTCAGGAGTGCGGCCATCATCACTGCAATCGTCAGATCATGCAGCCCTAGGGAGGAGAGGGACCATCAGGATGCAGCTGAACCAGAGGGGGTGGGATGGGATGGGAAGGGATGAGGTGTAACACTCACCATGCTTTGCCCAAGGGTAATGCCTCCCCCTCTGTAGGAACACACTGCAATGTCCCCTGGAGCAAGGAAGGGGTTTGGGGCACCCAGCTGCACCCCGGGATGCTGGGACTGCACTGCCATGGGATCACCCACATCCCCTGACCTCACTTCTGGAATCACCCATGGAAAGGCTGCATGTATGGGCTATCTATCCATAGGGTAAAACCCACCCCAACCATCCACAGGGTCCCCCCAGCATCCAAGCCCCAACAGGCTGCATGGGCAGTCCTGGGATGGGGCAAAGCCCAGTGGAGATGGAGGTGCCCCCTTCCTATCCACCTACCTCTGGGCATCAGCTCGATCACCAGCTTGGGGCAGGCAATGTTGGAGCAGCCCACGGCAGCCCCACAGATGCAGGTGCACTCCTCGGGGTCCACGCAGGCCACAGTGCCTGGGGGATAGAGGTAGGTGATGTTCTAGGACCCTTCCATCCCCTGTTCCATTGGGGTAGGTACTGGCCCTTTGCTATGGCCATGATGCCCCATAAGCATAGAACTGGGTGGAGAAGAGCGCACCCCACATGTATGATCCACCTCTGCTTCACCCATCAGCCTTAACACAGACAGGACCCAGCCCAGCAGCATGACCCTCACCTCGCACTGCCCCACATCCAGCCCACCTCTGTTCAGATCTACCCCCCATTGAGCCCTCCCCACATTAAAGACAGTGACAGGGGCCCCACCAGCACCCGGTGCTGTGGCTGGAGGCAGCAGAGCCCCACGGGCAGGCACTGCCCATCCCTGTGCACGGGGTTCATGCACCGTTGCAGCAATTACCTGCGTGGGCAGCACCCAGCAGCTCCGTGGGACGTGGGCGGCAGCACCGTCACCGCCCCATTGATTGTGTTTCAATGAGCACCGAGCCCTCTTTTTATTGTTATGCCCATAAAATATTGAAATGAATGGAAATGAATGCCAGGCATCAATGTGGAACGGGCTGCCTGGCTCCCTGATCTGCACCCTCCCAGTGCGGAGCATGGGTAATCCCTGCACACCACTGGGAGCATCGTCCCGGTCCTCCTCCATGGTGACCCTCACCAAAGCAGGGTACCCCCAGCAGGAGCGCATGGAGAAGGCAAACCCCGGCTGGTAACACCTTGAGGCTTTACGTAATGGGTTATGAGACACAATGGGGTGCAATGTGGGGTGAGAACACACGGCACAGGCAGCAGAGCACAGGCCAATGCTCAGCACATCCCAAGGACGCTAAAAAAGCCCGACCTGAGCCACCTTTCCCCTGGGTCAGAGCCAGCTCTGGGGCTCTGGTGACTGTGTCCTGCAGCAGCTGTGAGTAAAGCTGCCATCACCACCCGGTGCCTCGCTTTCCTCCTCTTTAAAAGAGCCCATTGTGCTCGGCTCTATGCAAACGGCTGGTGCCTGGAGGGTGGAAGATGCTCCAGAGGGCAAAGCAGCGTCTGGGTGTTATAGCCCAGCCGAAACGCTCGCCCCAGGGCTCAGCTCTGCCACCAAAACCATCGGTGGGACCTGGGAGCAAGAGCTGAGCCCAGTGGGCATCCAGAGCCCCCGAGCTGGGAGCAGACCCCAGCATCGTACCCCGCTGCTTTGCTTTAGCATTAGGCCCTTTGCTAGAGATGGGAAATTAATTAGGAGCTTGTAATTAATGCTTCCATCTGCAGTCGGGAGGAGCCTGTCCTGTGTCTGTGCCGGCTGCTGCCTGTCCGGCTGGGTCACCCCAGGGTGGCCAAATGGGGACAGTCAGGATGGCAGGGACCAAGCTGCTCATCCGTGGGGACATGTCCCTGCAATGGGGCTGCGCGCAATTCAGGTCCCAGGGGACTAAGGGCTCTTTACCCCATAGGAGATGCTCCAGCCACAGGGCTCTATGGACCCAATCCCCCCCCACCAACACGGCTGTAGGAGCTGGCACATGGCATGAGCGATGGGATGCTGCATTTATGCCGCCGTGTCATAGATCACAAGCGCACACACCCCGCTAAGGCGACCATAAAGCTCCTTGCACAATGAAACCAGGGCTGTGAGGTGGGTACGACCGCAGCACGCTCCAGCCACGCCACACACACCCATGCTCAATGCCCAAATCCAGGGCATCTCGCAACCTGTGGGCGCTGGGCCACCCAAGGGAGGACAATAACTGGGGACAAGGTCCTGGAGCATCCCTGTAGGTGCTTGGCTCTGTCACGTTTGCTGTCCCTTGCTCAGCAGGGCTGGGGTTTCACCTGAAATGACCGGGTTTGGCTCCAACACCTCACTGCATCCCTCGCTGCCAGGCCATGGCATGCAGGGAGGAAATCCCTATGGGGTCACACAGCCTTTCCATACCACCATCAGCTCCATCTGAGCCACCTCCAGTGGAAGCCAAACGCTTTGTTCCTCCCTGCGTTCTGATCCCAACGCACACTGTCGCATCCCCACATCCCTGTGTCCCACTGCCACTTACTGCACACAGCAGCCAAGGGCTGGGCACAACCTGGGGCGTGATACCCCATTATGGGATGATTTTTCCAGCCTTTACCATGCACTCACACGAACCAGTTTACTCCAATGGAAAGGGAAGAAGCCACCAGTTCCCCTCAGCAGCCCATTGACTTAAAGCCAAGCTTACACAAACTTAGCTTCGAGAAAGCCCTGCTGCAGTTTCTCCCTCTTCCTGCACATCCCTGACCTATCTTCCCTTCCAAACCCTCCCCATGCCCGGTGCTTCACCACACCACGAGCCTCAGCCAGGGCTGGAGCATCCAGGAAGCCCCATGGCCACCGTCTGTGCAGGGAAAAGCGCTTTGATGGCCACGCACCCGGGCAGACGGGTGGCTTTGCCTCGGGAGCCTGACTCAAGCGGGGCTCTCATTTACACGGCTGCGGATCCAGATGAGCTGCACCAACGCGAGGGAGCTGAGACGCAGCCCCTGGCACTTCCCTTTCGTTGCAAGAATCTGACCCTGATTCCTGACGTTCGCCTTTATCCGAGCTTACAAGCACAAAGCTCCACGATTCAGGTTTGTGAGCATCAGCTGGTGGAGCCACAGTGGGCTTTTTGCCCATCTCCCAGTTACTAATGCAACCTGCCGTGGCAAGGTCGAGCTCCTTGTGTCCGTGCTGCAAACCTCGTGCCGAAGCAGAGGAGGTTATAGAATAGGGTAGGATAGGAATATATTAGAATAGGAATGGCTAGAATATATTAGAATAGACTAAAATAGAACAGAATAGAACATTTCCACTGAAATGGCTCTACAGGGATCACCTAATCCCACTGCCTGACCCCCTCAGGGCTGACCAAAAGTTAAATCACATTATAAAGGGCATTATCCAAATGCACCTCAAACACTGACAGGCTCAGGGCATCAACTGCCTCTCTAGAAAGCCCATTCCAGCATTTGACCACCCTTTTGCTAAAGAAATACTCCTTAACACCCAGCCTAACCCCCTGTGTGCAGCTTTGAAGCATTAGATGCTAGCCCCAAGCTGGTGCTGTCCCCCAGACCCAGCTGGGCTCTGAGCTCCTGCGCTTGCATCAGGGTCCTTGTGCTCAGCACAGGAGGGGTTAAGGATGAGGCAGAGCTGCTTCCCTGGAAGATATTGACTTACCAAGAGGAGATTTCAAAGGAGATCTGATTACGATAATAACACTAATTATTATTATTGCTACCCTTAAGACAAACACCACCCCCTGACCTCCCGCACCCGCACAGCGCGGGGCAGAGGAGTGCGGGCAGCACCAGCCGAAAGGGTTAATGTGCGGGCAGGGCCGGAATGTGTGAAGGCAGCATGTGACTGCAGGTGGGGCAGGGCGGAGAGGGATGAATCACTCTTTTGCTTTTCCTCTTTTCACTTCTCCCTGTTACCTGTCTGGCAGGAGCCCGCAATAACCGACCCGGCAGCCAGGGCGATGCAGCAGAGCCTGGTGGAGACGTTCGGTGCCACCAAACCCATCGGCTGACCCGGTTCTCCGGGAGCAATCACCAGGGACTGGGGCCGGGCTTTTCTCTGCCTTTCTTGAAGCTGGTTTCCTGCTTTGATCCGGTGTTATCATTGTCCTGAAGGAGCCGAGGATGAGAAGAGCGTGGAGGCGGAGGTAGAGGACCCCACGCCCCTGCCGTGGGAAGCTCCAGGTTTTCCTTGCTTGGAGCCGGGAGCGAACAAGAAACCGAATCCTCCTCCCCGGCACAGGAGAGCTCTGGCGCGGCCGGAGCCGGCGGAGAAGGGAGCAGCGCGTTCCCAAAGCTGCACATCGAGCCGGGGAGGGCGAAGCAAAGCGAGTGGTGTGTTTAAAGACTGGAGAATCATTAATTCCTTATTTATTGTCGGCATCCGGCGCTCGCTGCGGGTGCAGAGATCCCTTGGGAGAGGGGGGACCGGAGCGCGTCGTCACCATGGCTTTCTCCCAAGTGCAGTGCCTGGACGACAGCCACGTCAACTGGAGGTCCAGCGAGTCCAAGCCTGAGTTCTTCTATAGCGAGGAGCAGCGCCTGGCCTTGGAGGCGCTGGCCTCGCACGGGCCTGATGCTTTCTATGAGGTCCTGAAGAAGGAGAACATCAGGGACTTCCTCTCCGAGCTGGAGCTAAAGAAGATCCTGGATACGCTGGAGACGTACGACCCCGGCTCCGAGTACATCCCGCGCCACGGCAGCAGCACGGGGGAGAGCGACGGCGACCACAACAGCCAAGGGGACGAGCAGGACATGGCCCCATCCCTGGAATACTGGCCCCAGAGGTCCGACCGCTCCATCCCACAGCTGGACCTCGGCTGGCCCGAGACCATCGCCTACCGCGGTGTCACCCGTGCCACTGTCTACATGCAGCCGCCCATCGAGGGGCAAGCGCACATCAAGGAGGTGGTGAGGAAGATGATCTGCCAGGCTCAAAAGGTGAGTGCGCTGCGGGATCCGGGCAGGATTTGCCTCCAGGCTGTCTTGATGACAGATCCTAACGTCCTGCTTGGCCACGGCAATCCCTGCTCTGCGGTGAGCTCTGCCCAAGCAAAGGCATCGCGGTCAAGCGCTCGGGTTTTAATGTGGGTAATCAGTATTTAGGGATCTGATGCTGCTGAAGATGCTGTTAGTTTGGTCCAGCACCCCCTGAGAGCGACACGACCCTTCCCATGATCCATGGGGCAGCATCACTGAGTCCTTATGGGGCTGTGGGGGAAAACTCTGGGGAGAACAAAGGGTTGAGCAGCTTGCCAGCAGTGAGCCCACAGTCCCAGGCACCCCAGGATCGTTATTCCCAAACCCTGTGTGACTGCATGTGGCAACACGCAGGAACCGGAGGAGCCAAACTCAGCCCTGGGGCCAAGCACTGCTCTGGTGCTGATGTACACGAGCATCAAGTGTGGCCCGAGATTGCTGCGGTGCCCCAAGCTGGCCTCATCCTGGTTTTAAGAGTTAAAGGGTGAGCTGATGCGCAGGACAAGGCTGGGTTGATGCTGAGATTTGGGTTGAGGCTTGTCCTCCCTGTGGCACCAAACCAAAGAGCAGGGTGATGGGATCGGGCTCGTGTCATGGACAGGAGGAGCAGGAAAGGAGGGAGACGATGGTGGTGGTGGGCAGAGGTTGCTGGTGTTTCCCAGGGCCCCAGTCCCATTTGGGAAGCACTGGAGGGGCCTGGTACCTGCTGTTTTCATGGTGCTTTGAAGCTCTTTTTGCTCTGTGCATCCACTCCCTTGAGAAATGCACCTCCAATGGAGGAACATCCCAACCCTGAGGATACTGCAGCAGGAAAACAGGGGCACCCTGCCAGGGTGGCTATGGAGCAGAGGGAGCCAGGCTAGGATGTGTCAGGTCTACCTGGCTGTAGTGATTTCCCGTGCCAGGGCCTGCAACAGTGCTGGGATTCACAAATCCTAGTGGCATGCAGCCATTAAGAGCCTCTCCATGACCAGAGGGCTGAGGATCTGAGCATGAAAAGCCTGGGCTCAGGCAGGAAAACACATCCAAGGCTCACAGGATTTGGGATATACCAGGGCTGCTGTGCTGCAGACAGGAGCCATCTCTGGCCAATAACACCTTGCAAAAGCCGAGCTGACCTGTCCTTACCTGCAGTGTTTTCCCCTCCAAAGGGCTTTACAGTGAGAACAAAGGGAAGGGAGGGCTGAAGTGAGAACTCCCCCACAGCAAAGAATGTCTCATCTTCGGGTCTTTCCAGCTCGCTCTGACCCGGGCTTGCAGCTCCTGCCTGGCTTTGCCTACTCACCACTTCCCACCTGCCCCCACACAAACAGCATCTCCTGAGTCATCCCAGAGCCCTCCTCCTGCTCGGCAGAGCCAGGAGACTGAGTCAGGCACCATCCCCACCTCTCCTTGGAGCCTCTCCATGCCGCAGGGATGGATGGGGCCGCGGTGGATGATGCTCTGCTTGTCACCGGTCCCTTGGTGCTCCATAAGCAGGGCTGGGCTCTGCCTCCTGGTCCCGGTGGTCCCTGCTGGTGGGATGAGAGGTGGTGACGCCACTGGTGCCAGGCAGGAGACTGCTTGGAGCTTATGGAACGTAGAGATGGGTGCGTGCTGAAGCAGTCTGCAGGGTCTGGGGATGGCAGGAGTCACAGCATCTCACAAGTGGGCTCCTTCCAGAGGCCTCCCACCCCATATATGAGGGCCACAGTTACTGCAGCTGAACCTGCTCAGCACTGGTGTGAGTGCTCCTAAGCATGGGGATGCTGGGCTAAACCACACACAGAGATTCCAGCCAAGGCTTAAGGTCCTCAGGGCAGCTCAGAGGTGAAAGGGTTTGTCTGAGGAAGCCAAAAGCAGACAGAGGGGTGGTCCGGCTGCCACCCCATCCGATGTCACGTAGGGTGGCCACATGCCCTGTCCTTCCTATGGTGTTCTGCAGAGATCCCTGCCGAATTGTCCCGTCCCACTGGTCAATGGCAGTGCTCTGCACCCACCTGTAAAGGAGCACTGGCTTGGGTGTTGCATCCCAGAGGATGACCCTTGCTCCAGCTGCTGTCAAAGACGTTTGGTCTGAAACACACTCAGATACCAAACACCAGAGCCACGTGGTTGCTGTCTCGTGGCCAGAGGAGCAAAGTGCACCCAACATCAGCCTGGCCAAGGAGAGTTCCGAGCCCGTCTGAGCGCTGCTGATGCTGGGGAGGCTCAGAGCTGGGTGAGGAAGCCAAGAGCTGGGACGTGAGGCCCCTTTGATGGTGCAGATGCACCTCCTTGCTTGCAGGAACAAGGCCAAACGCTGCCAAGCTCAGAGAGAGGCAAACCCGGGCGAGCCAGAGCAGGGGATGCAAATGATGCCCTCCTCTCTCTGGGAATAAACAGGAGAGAAGGGAGGCAGGATCCTGTGGCCTCATCTCCCAGCAAATCCCATCTTTGTGGCCAATAAACAGAGGTGGTCAGGGACGTGGTGCGCCACTGGAGACCTTTGCAGGTCCAGCTCCTTATGTAGATCCCCTGGGGCTGCAAAGCTCATGGGATGGGTAGGGAGGAAGATCTCCCTCCTTTCTCCTGCTCTGGATTTTGGCTCTATCTGCCCAGAAACCAGAGCAGGCTGCAAGCAACGACCTTGGCCAAAAGCCACCTGAGACAGCAGCGAGTCTGACCTCCCCTGCACCTGAGGTTCCAGGTTGGGATTGTGGTGGTATAATTACCCTGAGCAACTTCCAGCCAAGGTTGGGAGGCCCCTATTAATTACTGTTTACAGAGCCCTCTGCCATTCCTGGATGAAAGGGGCGACGGGGGAGAGCAATTATTAATGTTACTTGTCCCACCTCTCCCTCATCCCAACACGCTTCCTCTAATTGTGCCTTGGTGCTTGCCTAATTTATGGAGTGCCCACGTGGTGTGCCCCAAAAGTCATTATCTGATGAGTCAGAGTGAGCTAATAAAGAGCTGTCATTTCCTCTATAAAACATGATCCTGCTCTTGGCCTGCTCCTCAGGAGGATCCCAACATCGTTTGCCCCGTGTCTGAGGGGATGTGATGCTCGGGGTGTTGGGATGCAGTACCAGCGCATCTGCTCCATCCAATGGATCAATTGGCAGCTCCTGGGAAGAAAAGCATCACCCACTTGGGTGCTGGGAGCATCTGGCTGTAGGTTTGGGGCTGGTCTCCTCTGCGCCCTCCAGATGAATGGCAAACAGATGGCAAATGTTCCTGGGATGACACAGAGGAAAGGGACTTCTCCTGCTGCTGGAGACCTCCCTGATACTGAGCATGTGGGACACCGAGAGGTGACGAGGACAAGGGTACCAAGCTCACTTCCCACAGCAGGACGGCACGGTTTGCTCCAGGCACTCCCATTCCCAGGGCTGGGGATGGGAAGCAAACAGCACACAAGATTTCACTTCTCTGGAGCAAACAGACCGCCGTTCTTTACAGATAAACCCCGTACCTGGGTTTGGTACAGACCAAACCGGTCCCAGCCGAGGTTCCAGCGCAGGCAGCAGGTTGTGTCCCTGTGGTCCCTGGACTCTCACTGCACTGGGAGCACTGGCAGTGCCATCCTCACTCTCGCATCCCGTTTTGTGCCAGGGCACATTGGCACACCGGCCTGAGATCCTGGTGACAAACCAAGGCCGAGCCTGTCCTGCAGGTGAGACGCAGTGGGGAGGGAAGCAGCAGCGCTGAGCAGGAGGAATTGGGTTGAAAATGTGGGCAAGTGGGTGAGAGCAGGGCTGCCTCCTGCCCTGGGCAGCTGCCTGCAGTGTGCTCCTTGCTCAGCATCCTATGAGCAGTGCTTGGGATAGAGGACGTCACCATGTCCTGCCTGCATCTGTTCCTATCTTCAGACCCAGAGCAGCAAGGCAACACCTCGGGAATGCCAGGATCACAGTGGGAAAATGCCTTTTTCCTCCCCAAATGAAGGCCAAAACTGGTCTCATCCCTATTGATAAAGGCTCAGCTTCCCCTGGAGAAAATGCAGCTCACAGGCAGTGACATGACCATGGCCACAGGGAGCATCAGTGTCAGAGACAGGAGCAAAGATCCACGACCAAACCCACCTCCCCAAGCCAGGGAGATGCCATCCCAGTGCCTTTTCATCCAGGACTCACAGCACAGCTCCTCCCCAGTCCCTTGCTGCACATGGAAAAGCCAAGCCCTGAGCTTTAAGAGGAGCTTTGAACCTGTCCCACTTTACATCGCTGCGAGACAAGCGCAGCCCATGCAAAGTGAGCACCCGCTTTGCTGCCTCAGTTTCCCCATCAGGACAAAGCACAGGAATGGGTGCTCAAGGGAGTGAGGATGTATGGCAAAGCCTGTTGAGAGGCTCTTGGGTGAGGATAAATGGGAGTTCAATTAGAACCAAGAGCCGGCGAGTGGTCCCCTCTCACTGTCACCTCCTGAAACACTTGAATGTGGCCAGGTTTGGGGATGGCACAGGCTGAGGCTCCCCATGCAGCCTCGCTCCTCGCCCCGTCGCCTGCAGAGAAGGAAGGGAAGAGCTGGCAGTGTCATAATGCACAATAATCCCCTGCTTAATTAGAGCTCTGCGGCTCCTGTGGCACAGAACTAATTAAAAGGCAGCTTGGTGCTTTGAGAGCCCCGGACTGGACCTGCCTGAGTGTGCAAGCGCCCGGCACCATCCTCATCCCTTCCTTCCTTAGGGAGGAGTATTCCAGGGTCTCCCTGTGGCACCCCATAGCATGTATGTTCCCATTGCGTTATCCTTCCCGGCCTGGCCATGTGCTGGAGCCAGCAGAGCCTTCCTGGAAGTGAAGAGCACCATCTTCCCCGATCCAGGGCAGCTTCTAGGGATAGCCACAGAGATGGGGACACTGATGGGTTTCCAAGCACTGGGCAGTGACAGTGCCCCAGTGACAAGCCACTTCCCTGTGTGGCTGTTACCAGCCCATGTGGGATAAGGAGAGGCTGCGGGGCTGCGCTGCCCTAGTGCTACCCCAGGGATAGGGCAGGTGAGATGCTCAGTTGCACATCCCTTGCGCTGCACCGCTGCTGCTCACCATCAGAGGTGATGCCATCTCCAGGAAGGCAAAATCCATGGCATGGAGTGACCGATGGTGCTTAGGCCGCCATCCCAGCGTGTCGGGACGTGGCATAGATGCGTCTTCCTATCGCACACAGGACTCGCCCTGGTCCTGCCCTGGGTACAAAGGCAGCTCTGGCTTACAAAGGACGGTGACGCTGCTGTGTGCCAAACCCTGCTGTCACTGCACGGGGTGCTGGCACTGTCATCCCGGCTCTGCTCTGCCCTCACACAGCCTGGGACAAGGAGGGATGCAGGAGCAGCACCCTGGGCACCCACCCGGCAGGCTCATGGCCATGCAAGATCCACACAAACAGGACCAAGAGGGGCATCAGCAGCCCTGTCCCCAGTGCTCTGCTTTGGTCTCACAGTGGAGACATGACCATGAACCCAACCACATTGCTGCTTGTGCAGGACTTGGAGCAGCAGCTGCAGGAGCTGCGCACTCCTGGTTTGCTTCTAAGCAACCTCATCCAGCCTGTTTTTAAAGGAATTAAAAGTCATTTCAGCTCCTGAATGCGCCTCAGGGGTATCCAGATACTTGCTACCAAGCTTAGAGTCATTCTTAGCTATTTTTTTATCCTGTTTCTCTCAACACAGGCATGCACAACAACCCAGGGACAGCCCGTGAGACGTGTCCTCAGACAGGCAGACGTACCATTGCATCACAGGTTCTCCCTTCCAGGGCTCAGCGATAGGGCCACAGGCAGTGCCAATAGCAAAGGGACACCAAACTCCTCAGCCAGAAACCAGACTCTGAAGCAAATGGTGCTTGCTAAAGGCAAGAGAGATTCCCCCTCAGAAAGCAATTATTCCCACGTATGTGATGCTGCAGGCTTCACCTGAGACCAGACCTCCCATAGAGACAGCAAAGGAATGGGACTGGGGGCTCCTGCTTTTCACCCACAGGCTGGTTCCAAAACCAAATCCCAACCTCGTAGAGCACGCACATCGCTTCAGCTCTCACAAAGACAAGCTCTGGCTGTACCTTGGGGTTGTCACCCAGCCGTGCTACTCAGACTCATCTCTCGTCTCCCCTCTCCAGGTCATCGCGGTGGTCATGGACATGTTCACTGATGTAGACATCTTCAAGGACCTCCTGGATGCGGGGTTCAAGAGGAAAGTGGGGGTTTACATCATCCTGGATGAGACCAACGTGAAGCACTTCCTTCAGATGTGCGAGCGAGCCCAGATGCACGCTGGACACTTGAAGGTAAGGCTGGCCCAAAGGGGCCCTGTAACCTCCTTCAATACACAGGTTACCAGAGCTGTTGACCCTGCTCCCTCCTGTCTTGGGGAGCCACAACCCCTAAACTAGATGAGTTTAGTCCATTTTTCCTGTAGCAAAGGTGAAGGCGATGCCTAAATGCAGGAGCAGCAGGGTGGAAGGGAATGGATGGGCTATGGAGACATAGATTTCCACGCAACCAAGCTGAATGCAGAAAGACTGAGGAGCTTCTGGTAGCCAGGCAGAGCTGGCTTTGGGGCAGGGGGTGTTCGGGGAGCTGTGGCCACACATGGGGCATAGGTGCACATAGGGAGCTGCGTCCCCACATAGGGCACAACTCAGGGAGGACACTGCAAATCCCAGGCCATGCTCCTGGCGAGCAAGAGGGAAGGCAGGAGAGGAGGATGCTCCGCGGGGCTGATGCACGGTGTCACCAGCCCCGTCCCTGCTCCCTCCCCAGGGGCAGCAGCACCCCCAGGCCGGTTCTCTCCCTTTCAGCCCTTCCTGCAAGTCAAGAGGCTGGAACTGAAGAACTCGATTTTCCCCTTTCCTGGAGCCTCCGCCCCAGCGAGGGGCCAGGATCGGAGCAGGGAGGGCCCCATGCTGCCAGGGATGCCCTCACTGCTCACAGTGACCGGCGGGACCCATCTGCCTGCACACGCTGTGTTAACCCAGCCATGGAGGCACATGGCACTAATCCTGCTGGAACAAGGGAAGGGAAAGCAGAGCAGGGGATGCCTGGCAGCACAGGGGCTCCGTCCCCTGCCCAATGTGCCCTAAACCTCTTAGACATGCCTGTGCATGCTGGGGCGGCAAAGGACATCAGTTGGTACAGTGCTTAATGCAGAGGAAGAGGAAGGGGTAGAGCGGAGGGTGAGGGGTTACATCAGCCTCAGTGGGAGCAGGGACCCTCGCTCCATCCGTAGGACACATCCCAGTGTTTCCACTGGGCACAACATCCCCATCACCACCATCAGCTCCAAACACGCCGGAGCAACCCAGCACTCGAGGGCTCGCAGACACCCCTCTCCTGCTGTACTTCCCACCTCAGCCTCGCCTGTTGCTTGGCAGAGAAGTGATGTTTCTGTGCCTGACATCAGCCAAATAGCTGCCGGCGAGGCCCGTGCCCGGGCAAGCTCCCCACATCTGCTTATGGTGAGCAGGAACGCATCAGAGCCACCTTCAAGCCAGGCTGAGGGATACAACAGGGGGCTCAGAGACCCCCAACACACCAAGCAGCCGAGCCCCACTCCAGCCCCGCTTAATGACTGCTCACAACAATTAAAGCAGACTCAACCGAGCTTTTACCCGCATCCAAACCTCCCCATAGAGTCTGTCCTGCAGACTGCTCCGAGACCAGAAAAGCCAGAGCTGACACACGCCGCTGTTATAATGCATGAGCAGCCCGGTGGCAGGACTGGAAAAGCAGGAGAGCATCTGCAGAGCTCGGCAAATGTCTCGAAGTTGGGATTTGCCGCATGTTGCAGGCAGGTTTGCTGGCATGGGGAGGCTGTGAGGAAACTAGGGCAGTGTCTGGGAGCTGCTTCGTAAGCCGGGAGATGCTAACGAAACACAGGTCGTTATCTCGGTGCCGCAATTAGCAGCCCGGCTTGGGCAAGGAGGTCGCTTTGTTGAGCAATGGGGAGTGCTTGGGCAGTGATTCAGCTCGTCCCAGCCGTGGTGCTGGGTGCTCGATGCTCTTGGGAGAGATGAAATAAACAGATCTTACTTAACAGCAGAGAGGTGCCGGGAGCCAGCAGGGAAGGGAAGGGGACCGGCATCTCGCTTGCAGGGAGCTGCGTTCCCCTATGTGTTACTGAGATACAGCCAGGGCTGCTTCGGGTCTTTGTGCAAAGGTTGGATCCTGAGTGGGAATGTGAGGGGATGCCCAGGCTGGCAATGGGCAGAGGGCTCAGCATTACCCAGTACCCAGCCACTCTCAACACAGGGACAATATGGGCAAGGATGGGAATTCCCTATGAGGGTGCTGAGGCGCTGGCACAGGGTGCCCAGAGAAGCTGTGGCTGCCCCATCCCTGGCAGTGTTCAAGGCCAGGTTGGACACAGGGGCTTGGAGCAAGCTGCTCTAATGGAAAGGGTCCCTGCTTGGAGCTGGATGAGCTTTAAGGTCCCTTCCAACCCAAACCATTCCATGAATTGTCACCCCAACCTGCTTCCAGCCAACCCCTGGTACCGCTCGGCTTCACCAAGCAAAAAGGCAAACACTAGAAAGAAAAACCTCAAATGCACCAAAAAACCATCCCAGATCTCTCCATTCGGTGTAAAACTTCCCTGGAAACCTGCTCAGGAAAGACATTGCTTTTGCATCGTGCTAAATCCAGTACTGAATCACCATCCCTCCTACCAGGTGCACAAGGAGCAGGGATGTCCAAGCTCAGCTTGAATGCAGGCTTAGGGATAGCCTGGTCATGGTCTACAAGGAGGAAGGAGAGCCCAGGGATGCAGATAAGAGCTGGAGGAGGGGAACACGAATACTTTTCATTCCTTTAGTTAAAAACTCCACAGAAACCAACAAAACACACAAAAAAACCCAAACCATGGAGGGCACGACCTCGTGACGACACAGTGCCTACAGCAACAGCATCGCCACCGTCCCGGCACGCACAGGAGGAATGCAGGCACTTCCATAAGAGAACACTTTCTCTGCACCCAAGGCAGACCATTTGCAGTGAGATGCTATCTGCCCGCCTGCAGAAACACGCTGGTGCCCTCCATGGAGGTGCACGGAGGCATGAAGCAGACTGGAAATTAAAGCTGTTTTCTTAGAGCTGCCTTTCCATGACCACGCTCCCATGGGGAAAGGCACCTCACTTCCTGGCCATATCCACAGGGACCTGCTCTTTCAGCCCACATCCCTGGGTTTTGGTCTCCAGAGGTGAAAAGATGCTGCCCCGCTGTCATCTTTTCCCCACCCATTCCTATAAACAGGGCTAGATGCTCACATTTAAGAGGACAAGCAATGGGAGACCTTCACGGAGGACAAGCCCATTGCCATCAGGTCTGTATGGACCGTCCTGGGGTCACCCCCTCCCTAAAACCATTGTACACCTCCCACTGGGGAGAAGGTGAAGAAACCTCTCCCATGGTGGCATTTGCATAGATCGCAGGGGATGGGAAGCACTTGGCAGCACTCTCATGCGCTGCTCACCCACGGGTACAGGCAGCGCCGGGTTCAAGAGGTAGAAAACGCTGCCCGATACATGGGCAAAGCAGGAAATTCTGGAAACCAAATCCATAGTTTGCTGCGTGGCTTCGGGCGAGTTATTTCATCTTCCCATCGCTGTGGCCTCCTCTGAGCTGGCCACGAAGAGCGTTTCCCACTGCGGAGCATCCACGGGGGTATCGGTGGCGGGGTGAACGATGCTCTAAGTGCAGCCCTTTGCTCCTGTTCCCACTCACTCCTCTGCCTTTGCTTTGCAGAACCTGCGAGTCCGGAGCACAGGGGGAACAGAGTTCTTCACGCGTTCGGCCACCAAGTTTAAAGGGGCTTTGGCCCAGAAGTTCATGTTTGTGGATGGAGATCGGGCCATGTGCGGATCCTACAGGTAACCGATGGTGCTTCCTCTTGCCCACCCCATGGAGGCAGTGGTCAAAGGACTGACACAGACCCACATAGTCCAAGCCTCAGTCTTGGCCCAGCATGGCCCCAGGACCCCATTCCAGACTTTCTCCCCTGCTCTTAAGCTGGGAGATGATGTTTCAAGGCCAGCCTGACCCCCAAAGGGGTTCCCCCCACCCCACAGCCAGGTCTGGGACACCCCTCCTTCTTGAAGGCGGTGGAACACATCAAGTGCTTCTGCCAATGGATGTGATGAGCGCAAGGACAAAAGCACTAAGCTGCGGTCAGTCCAAGCTCTCACATCAACCTCAGCTTTTCCAGTCAAGCATTTCCTACCCAAATTTGTCCAAATGAATTTGTCCTTTCCAATTTGTCCAAATGAAGACTTACTTTGGTGGAAATAGATCTGTTTCAGTGAGCTTTTCAGCTCTGAAAGATGAGATTTATAAACATGGAACTGAAATGTTTCCTGCTTTCTGACCTCAACAAAAAGCCCATCCAGAGCCTCTTAACTAACCCAAGCTGGGGAGGGAGAAACAGCCAACACTGAAGAGAAAAACCAGCTGCCCCACAGCAAACACCTTACTTTTACTTCAAGTCCCAATGTGCTCAAGACTTCAAGGTTGAGAGCTGCTCCTTCGATCCCATTGTGATTGATGTTTACAGTGAGATCGTGTCCCTGCCAGCACCAGCAATCCCTCGGGGAAAGCCAGGGCTGGGCAGGGGTGTGTTATTTACCAACAAGCACTGACTTTACAACACGTTTCTGTTCCAGCTTCACCTGGTCTGCGGCCAGGACAGACCGAAACGTCATCACGGTCCTCTCAGGCCAAGTGGTGGAGGCGTTCGACAAGCAGTTCCAGGAGCTCTACCTCATGTCCAAAGGGGTGAGCCTCAAATCCATCTCCATGGGTGAAGAGCCTGAACCTGAGCCCGTAACGCTGCCCTCCGTAGTGCCGGTGACCCCGGCCAACGCTGTGGTGAAGAAGCTGATCAACCCTAAATATGCCCTGGTGAAGGCCAAGAGCGCTGACCAGATCAGCAAGACTTCATCGGAGACCCAGGACAAGACCCAGAAGGTGGACACCAAAGGCAAAGCCCTGCCTGAGGGCCAGGGGGGTGACAGGCATGGAGATGTGGCCGACCTCTCCCTGCTCATCCACCCTGGCCTCCTGAACCTGGAGAAAGCCAACATGTTTGACTACCTGCCCACCTGGGTTGAGCCCGACCCCGAGCCTGGCAGCGAAGTCTTGGGCTACATCAACATCATTGACCCCAAGATAAAGAACGTGAAGCTCTCGCAGATGAACCGCATCAAAGTGTGTGATGTGTCCCAGGCCAGCGCTCAGCACCGCCAGATGCTGAAGAACAGGGAGATGGAGGCCAAGAAGAACTCGGACCAAGAGCAACTCCTGATGTCCCCCTGCCAAAGACAGACCCCGCAGATCCCCATGGAAGCTCCTGCAGCCACCACAACCAGCCCCATCGAACCTACCAGCTGGGCAATGAAGCAGACGGGCTCGTTTGCCACTTCGCCATTGGGTTACCACTTGAAGGCACCAGAGGAGACACTGGAGGACATTAAACCTCCGGTTCCAAAGCCAAGGACCACCCCTGTTGGCATCCTCATGACCAAAGTCACCACAGCCTGTGACAGTAGCACTGCCCTGGAGGGTGACACACAGCCACCACTGACCGACCATGTGGCTGCAAAGCAGGAGCAGGCGGAGAACACCAACGGAGCCTCGATGGAGAGCTGCCATCTCCAGCCAGACCGGTCAATGGCAGGGCCACAGGAAGACAAAGGACCTCCCTGTGCCCACAATGGGCTGGGAGAGGAGGAGGAGGAGGAGGAAGAGGAGTACATCACCCTCAGTGACCAGGAGAGCTACTCCAGCAGCTCTGCTGACCACAGCTACCGCCGCTCCAATGCCTCCTCCATCTCAGATGAGTACTTCGAGGTGCGGGACCGCTATGGACCGCTCCGGAGAACCAACTCGGACGTCACCCACAACGGGGAGATCCTTCCCATACAGAGGAAGCTCAGTGACCCTCACATCAGCCGAGGCACCTTCCTCAGCCCCCTGGGGAGCCTCCCATCCCTAAAGCACATCCGCATGGAGGATGCCAACAAGAGGAGGAGCAACGCGGTGGAGATCAGGTGTGTGCTGCCCCGCACCATCCTGGATGGCAACAGCTCCTACCCCAGCGGTGCCACGCAGGTAGGACTTCTTGCTATAACCTTCCCTATGCTTCTCCACCCTGCAGAGGTTGCAAACCTGGAGGTGACCCAGCCAGCTTAGCCGAGGCGTGGTGTCATCCGTGGCTTCGGTGTCGCGTCCTACGTGCTGAGATCAAGCTTCCCATATAGGAGAATAATGCCCTGCATGAAGCCGTGGTAGGAGTCACCCTAAAGGTGCTCTTGGTCAGGAAGGTGGTGGCCGTGACACAGCCATTTGTGGCTGGGAGTGCAATAGGAACAGCTGGCGAAGGGAAGGTTTTGGGGGAATTAAGGATTATCCCATGGCATTGAGCTGTGGGATGGAGCCCAGCGGCTCTGGGCTGTACCGCGCCATCCCACAGCCCATCAGCAGTGGCATCGTGCCCAGGTAGGGACAGACTGTGCGTGCAGGCGTGTCCTACTCGGGTTTGTTTGCTAGCTCCTCGCAAAGGTGATTAGCATCAAAGCAAAAGCACTCGGACACATAATTAGGCAGAGCAAGACAGAGAAACAGGGACAGCAACCTCTGTAGGCGAGCGCTGCAGTCAGCAGCTTCGTGGCTGCTCCACGAGTGACGCCAGACCTTGTCACCCCATGGGGTGCATGGCCACAGGCTGCGCGCCAGCATGCCCATGGATGGAGCTTGGGATGCACAGCAGCATCCCCACTGCTGGAGCTCAGGGTGTGTGTACACCAGCATCCCCACTGCTGGAGCTCGGTATGCACACCAGCATCCCCACCGCAGCAGGAGCATCACTCCATCCGCTCAGCGGGGACCGCAGGGTCAATCCCCTATTTCCACCCAAGCACTGCAGCCTCTTGCATCACTATGAAGGCATTTGGTTTCTCAAGGCTCCCCACCCGCTGTTTTCAGGGCATTCAAACCCTCAGGGCTAAATCAGCAGCTGAAATCACTGCAGCCACCTGAGGTTACCCGAGCTGAGCATCTAATCTGTATTTACAGGGAATTAAATATACAAGCCCCGAATCCACTCGCTTCTCCCATCCCAGCCAGCGCCACAGAGCTCAGAGCAGGGTTTTAATCACATCACAAATCCCCTTGTGCCCTACGGAGCTGTGCAGGACAAGGAGCTCTGCTTTGATGCTCTGCACCCAGGCCTCTGGTGCCACCTTGCTCAGAGTGGCCGGGGACATTGGTGTTCCTGCAATAACTTGTCCTGGCCCTTTGATGAAAGGCAGGTAATAAACACCACCAGGATTGGGAAAACCAGCTTTCCACTGATGGAAATGCACAGGGAAGAGCTCCTCCCATGTGTAAAGTTAATAAAGCAAAGCAACCCTTGATTAACTTTCTAGAAACCTCGAATCCAAAACGAATCACCATCAGCCACTACCAAGGGTTTTCATTCTGGATCCACACTTCTTACGTGCTGGCCCAGAGCCCAAAATGCAGGTGGAGGCTCAACCACAGGGCAAACATCACGGGTTTTGCATCACCTTGAGAACACGGCACCCGAGTTACCCCTGGAGCATCACCTTGCCCACATACACACAACCCTGTTCCCACCCAGCTGCATGGTTAATAGAGCACAGTAGCATTGATGCACTGCAGGGGGGACACAGGTCTTCTCCTGGCCCTGCAGAGCCCTCAGGTCTGTGCAGAGCAGAGGGTTCCAGACAAGCCCCCCCCCTCCATTCCTTGTTTACCCACCCTGCCAGCTCCGTGCCCACACAGCAGAGCCATTACGTGGGTACAGGACCCTGCTGATCATCCCTGGCATGATGATAACCACCAAGGGCAGCATCTTCAGGTGGCTGGCAAGGATGGAGCCAGCCTTGGCATGACTCAGGCTCTCAGCAGAGATTGACCACTGGAGAGCCAGGCAATGGCTGAGAAGCCACCAACATCTATTCCATATGAGCCTCCTCCTTGCCAAAGTGCATCCCAAGCATCTCCAAATGCTGGAGCCACTGGGCCCAAACACAGCTCCAAACTTAGACATGCACCCAAACCCCTGGCTGGGTTTCCTCTCCAGACCAGCACTGGGTCTGTGTTATGCCATAGCACCACAAATCCCAGTGCAGCCACAGCAGTGTGTCCAACCATTCCCCACCACCATCCTCTCCCTTCTTGCCCCTGCTATTCAACCTCCTCTCCAGAGGGTGCCCTCAATGCAGTGGACACAGAGTGCAGTCAAATCCTACCACAGCTCACCACCCACACTGCCCAAACCATCACACCTCAAAGCTCTGGCCAAGCCATGTCCATCCCCAACACAGCCAGCCCTGGGCTTTGAGGCAATCTCTTAAACAGGCAAAATCCATAGGAAGTGCTGGCTTTAAAAGAGCTTAAACTCTTCCCCAAAGGCTTACAGCGAAGCGCTCAGCATCCAGCAGCATTTGGCCATTCCTGACCTCGTGGTGGGCGAAAAGGATGGGGTGCTGGTTCTTGGGGTGGGATGCTTGGGGAAGCATCTACCTGAGAGCCAGAGCATGTCAGGAGCCACAGGACTCACCACCCAGCTCAGGCACCACATCAGCACATAATGACCTCGAAGGGAGAGGACCTAAATCACCCTTGGTCCTTCCCACCTGCAGACATCTCAGAGCTTAGCACCGATTTTAAGCAATCAGGTTAAATCAACCTAGCATCACCCAAGGCAAACTGCTTGAATGCAGCCGCCATGGTGAAAGCAGGAGGCATCCACTCGAGGGCCATTGGGATACTGGTGCTGAATGACTGAGCACCGAGATGATGCCAGCAGCAGGGTGAGGGTCGTGGCATAGGCAGGGCAGGTCGGTGCAGCCAGCTCTGCAGCCTCCCAGCCCCAGCTCATCCTGCCATCAGCACCTGCGCCTGTTAGATTCCATCTTGCCCCGGTACATCTGCACAGGGTGCAATCACACCTCCACATTGCGGTGCAGGCACACCCAAAGGGGAAGATAAGTATCTGGTGACCACAGCCATGCAGTAAGGCTTTACCAGGGCCAGAACTGAGATTAACGATGCTCAGACCCCATCCAAACGTGTCTCTCAACCCAGGTAATCACGGCCACCCCCGCAGCAGTGCTGCAGCTCACTCGTCTCCTCATCCCACCTCCTCTCCATCCTTTCATCTCATCTTGGTAGCTGCCTAATCCCACAGGTTGGGTCTGGATGACTGAATGCTCTTTGGGCCTGAAATGAGGGCTTAGATTAAGATGGGTGTTCAGGCTGCTGCCGGGGAGAAGGTGTTGAGATGCCACTGGCATCCTTGGTTCTGGGTCTCTGGGCAGCAGTGATTTGGCCCTGGATAGCCCCCGGGCTGATGAGATGCTGCAAGGTGCAGGGCGATGCGTTGTCAGAGCAAGAAACAGAGGAGCAGCAGTGGCTTTGAGCTGCCCCCCAGTCTCAATAGGATTTGAGCAAGGGGGTGCACCAGGTGATAAAGGGGTTTGTCCATGAGGACCAGACACCATCATCCTGACCACACCAGTAGCTCACCTCTTTCTCTGCTCTTTAACAAACAGGGCACTCACATCTACCGCTACAGACCCAGGAACCCTGCGGGCAGAGAACAAGGCAAGGGGCTCTCCTGCTCCCCAACACATGAGAAACCCCCTGGGGCCACCAAATACAGAGGGGACGGAGCCGAACCCAAAAAGACCATTGCAGGCAGCCAGCCCTATTGGCAGAGCAAAGCCTTCAGCCCCAGCAAGCAGCCCGGCCACGTCTCAGCCAGCAATCCCAGGACATCAAGCAAGTGCTTAAGCTCCCTGCCGGAAAGCCAGAAGACAACGGAGGAGATGAGGACACCCCTGGGCATCCCGCTTTCCAAACTGTCCCAATCCAAGCACCTCAAGAGCAGGGTTGCAGGAGCCCCAGGTGCTTCTATTGACTCCAAAAAGAAGCCTCCTGAGCCCAGCAGCCAGAAGGAGCACTAGGTAAAGGTGGACTTCCATGGTGAGAGCGGTAGGAGAGCGTGCCTGGACCCCAGGCAATGCTGTGTTACATGGGGCAGGGGAATCTCGTTTACATTTACCTGGTCGGTGCACCAGTACCACGCGGCTGTGATAGCCCAAAAGCCATCCCGGTCCAGGGCAGGTCTCCAGAGACTGGATCTCGGAAGAGATGCATGGCATCGGCTCTGGGCAGGTGGCAGGTCGTGTTGGGAATGATCTTGGATGGCACAGCTTTTAGATAGGCCTCTTCCAGGCTGGGGTAACCTCCGATCTCACTTGAGAGCTGGAAAGCATCGTTGGGTTGGAGGCCAGCAAAGCCCAGCGGCCTGGGATCGGCTGGCAAAGCTCACCCCAATCCTTTGACTCAGAGGTGCTGCCCAAAGAGGGCTCCTTCATGGTCGTGTTTGCTTGTAGTTGTTTAAGAGACTCTTCTATCACCGTTTTGCACAGCAGGTCCCGTGACAGCCCAGCTTCAGGGGGTGACCTGTGTCCTGGGACAAAGGGACCCACCTCTTTTGACCTCGTACTGTAAAAGGAACTTGTCCATTAAAGCTCCCCGGTCCCAGAGCAGGGGAAGCTCACCTAGGACTGTTAAATGCAAGATTAGGCAGCCTTTGACTTGATGTGCTACAGCTCAAGGTGCTCAAATGGCTTCTACCCCTCTGAGTGTTTCCCCAGCACCCCCCATGCAGCTCCAGCCCCAAACCTCAGCAACCAGTGAAAAAAAGAACAAAAAAAGAACAAAAAAAAAAAGCCATCTTCACTGCTTTCTTTCCTATCAAATGGAACCCAAGGTCTGGGTCTTGGCCTGAGCCCCGCTGAAGAGTACGTGCCATGGACAAGCCTTAGCAAGCAGCCTCCAAGCCCTTTGGCAGCTGCCTTGGTGCTCCTCCTTGCTGCTCCATAGCCAGCAGCCCCAGGCTCTGCCCTGGCCCCCCACCATCTCCCTGTTCCTGGGGGGCTGAATGCTCCTTGCAGCTCTTCCAATACCTCCAACAGAAGAATTCCAGACCCAGAGGCATCGCTTTTTGGATGAGGGAGGGATGGGAGGCACCGGCCCCCAATGCTGTGGCCACCCATGCAGCAGTGTGGGGATAAGCAGGGAGGTGTTGGCACCCCCACACCCACAGCAGCTGGTGCTCAGGGTAAGAAACAGGAGACTCTGGGGACTCAAAACAAGACCTGTGAGCATCCCTTGGTGGATTTGTCCCCATCTGGTCCAGCTGTCGCATCCTGCATCCCTTCCACCCCCTGCCCATGGGACCCTCAGCTCAGCCCCCTCCAGCATGGGAACATGGTCCTGGGAAGTCACCTTCCTGCAGGACCATCCCCACAAGTGCTGCTGTCTTTAGGCCGAGAGAAACCCCTCAGGCATCAGGTGCTGGATGCTGGGGTCACCCTCAAGTGCCAGCTCACCCATCCTGCTCCATCATCCCCTCCTGCCCGAGGACAGCCCTTTCCCTGCATCCCCATCCCAGCGCATCCCCCTGACCTGAGGCTGTTGGGGACTTTACAGAGGGGCACCATCCACCGTGCCCCCCCCCACCCCTTTGCAAACCAGGGAGCCAGCCCTGCTAAACTCCTCCTGCTCTTGTGCAAGCAGCCCTGGCCCCCCTCCAGCTCTTGGCTTACCCAGGCGCCGGCTACTCCCAAGCTTTGCATGGGTGTTGGGCACCAACAAAGGCTCTCCAGAGGCAGAGATTCGCGCCCGGGGGTGCGGGCCCGCTCCCTTCCCAAAGGTGTTCACCGGCAAGTCCCGACACCTACGCCTGCACCAGGGCAGCGGGAGCTCAGCCTGCGGATGCCGGGCTGCAGCCCATGGGCTCCACCGGGATTAACAGCCCCATGTGAATGCCAAGTGGGTGCAGGATGGGATGGTCTCTCTTATGCGTGATGCTGGAGCCACCATGAAGCAGCCACTGAGCTCTCCGCAAAGCAAAGTGATGCCTACACCCCCTTGGTCCTCACCCGCTTGTTGTCCAGCTCTCCCCAGCATCCACCCAAGGGGATTTGTACAACTGTCCTGCTCTCCCCTGTCAGATGCAGCCTCAGAGCCAAGGAATGCATTTTCTTACCCCTTCAACAGCAATAAGGGAGGCAATGGGCCAGGCAGAGCACTCACAGCTTAGCAGATGGGTATTAGCATCACTGATGCAGAGGTCACGGTCTGAAGACGCGAACAACATAGACCATGAAGAGCATCCTTTATTAGAGGAGCTTGAGAACAGGTGACAAAGCCCAGCACACAAAGCCTCCAGGTGCCAAGGTCTCCTGAGACCTGAGGACAAGAACTGTGACCAGCACCTTGGTTTTGGCTCCTCTGCACCAGTCCCTGGCCCAGGCACCCTCAGCTCCCTGCACACGCCATGAAGGTTGGCAAAGCCAAAAAGAGCCAGGCTCTGCAGCAGCCAGAGGGGGATTTTCCCAGCCAAACTCACCAGACACAAGCTTCAGAGAGAGCCCCATGGCCAACTACAGCTTCAGACAACAACCAGCTGTGTTCAGGCACCTCAGTTAATGCAAAGGCTGCAGCCACCGCTTGGATCCGCTTGGGCGGGCATCGCGCTCCTCTGCCTTCTTGCTGGCGTTATTGTCCCTCCTGCAGGAAGTATCTGCCCTCCCATGTGTATCGTGTACATAGATCTCGCTCATCCAGGGCTCGCCCAGGACCGAGCTCTGCTTTTGCACAGGGGAGCAGCCTTGGGACCGGGCTGGCTGCAGGTCCGGAGCTGCTCCCACCTCCATAGGAGAGCTCCCGTGTGGTCAATGCCTGCCCGCTGAAGCCGACTGCTGCAGGGAATGGTGGGAATCACCTCAGGAGTGCCTCTGGAATCGCCCTCTGTAGTTAAATGCCTTCCTTTGAAGCTGGGACCCGACTTTTTGCCTCCTACTCCTCAGGGCCCAGAGCCCCGATGGCAGAACAAGGCTGATGAGCACCTGCGTGAGGCTGGGAGCTTGCTGCAGGTACAGAGACACAACAGTGCTGAGTGTGTTCAGAGAGGGCTGGGGATGAACCACGCTCACTCCAACCGGGATGAAGGCACGGCTCCATGCTCTGCATCCCCATGGAATCAATCCCCTGCAGCAGTGCCTTGTACCAGCATCACCTCCTGCCACGGTGGGATCCGTTCTGAAGCCCCCATCACAGCAGCACTGCAAGTTTCCCAGAGCAGGACTGGAAACGCTGCTTCACCATCAAACACTTGATACCATCCATCTCTCGGATGCATGGACCAGAGGCCAATATGTGGAGCAGCAATGACCACATAGGAGACCAGGGGGGATGCTTCGCAGCATCTTCACCCAAAGGCAGTGGCACAGGGGACTGGGGACACAGGGGAATCACAGACTTCCTTTAGGCAACTGCTCCAGGCCAAGGCCCTGCTGTGCATCTTGGCCACCGAACTGCTTAGACTGAGTCGTCTTATTTATTTCTGAGACCACAAAGCGGGCAGAAGGGGGGTTCTCCTGTCAGGGGGGTCCACGATGCCCCAGCTCTTACCTTTCATCACCAGCACGATGGCTCAGAGGACCACGATGAGCATCTGCAACGTGTCGGTGTAGGTGACAGCCACCAGCCCTCCTGCAGGAGAGCAAGGCACAGCGTGGCAAGGCACAGTCACTGGTGCCCGGTCCTCCAGCCCCAATAAAGCTGCCCGTGCTGGCAGGGATCTGCCTGTCATTGTGCTGTGACATTTGGGGATGCAGTGGGAGTGTGGAGGGAGAGCGGCACCCCATAGATGGGGAGGGGGATAGACAATAGCCACGGGAAGGGAAGGGGAGCCAAGGGATGGCAGGAGGGGAGGATGCAGCCCCAGGTCCCCATGCAGTCAGGAGGATGCCCATGAGCCTCTTTGGATGCTCCGGCAAGCAAACCGCATTCAGGATGCTGGTCTCATCCCACCTCTCCCCAGCAACATAGAACCAGTTAGGTTGGAAAAGACCTTTAAGATCATCAAGTCCAACCAGTGTAGAGGTTTCCCCTTCCTACACCCCTCAGCTCTCCCAACCCCACAGTTATTTTCCCAGGTGAAGCTTCCTGGGGTCCCTCTTGGCCATTAGACCAGCAGTATTCCTCCCTTTCCATCCCAAGGTCTCTCTGGACCTGTTGCAAAGCCAGGAGCTGCTCATGTAGCCAGAAAGCAATTACTCAGCACATGAGCAAAAGCATTAACAAGCAGTGGAACTGGAGGAAATGGGCTCAAAACTGAAGCACCTTCAACCCCAGTCCCCGACTCACATCCCAGGAATTCAGGGCTGCACCTTCTCCTCCCCAGGATTTGGAGGGATGTTCTTGGGATGAGGGTGATGCAGTGATCACACACACACACGCTGAAGTGCACTTGCATCACAACAAGCCTTGTGGGCAGGAAAAAACCCGAGATGGGATTTGCTTAAAACCAAAGTCTTGCAAAATCCACCCTGTTTCGGATATGCTTAAACTGAGTCCTGTTTTGATGCCTGGGATGAGAGAGAGAGGGAGAATCTACTGCAAGGGATGGAATGTCCCACCTACAGTAATAATCAAAAGGGCTGGCAGGGATGCAGGGTCCCATGGCCTAAGAGTGGGGCTGAAAGCCAGGAACCCACAATTTCCAACTCCAGCTCCATCATTGCCTCCAGATCCCTATGGAACCACATGGATCGCCCCTGCAAGAGGAATAGGCGAGAAATATTCCCAAGAGCTTTGCAGAGGGAAGGCAGCAAGTTGCACTGCAGGCAGGGCACGTGGGAGGGAAATGAACTGGGTAAAGGGCTCTCAGCCTGTAGATTCCATAGTAATAGTCCTGTAATAGGAGAAGCCCTGATTATCGCTGGTACAAATAGGTACACGCACAAGAAAGCACTTAACTACGAGATGGAGGAGGAGTTATTACAAATGGAAAGCTACAATGACAGAGCAGAGGTCAAGTATTGAGTCATTGCTTGAGCTGACGCTTGAAGAAGGATGCTCAGATACTGCCTGGATAGGGCAGGGAATGTGATCCCCATGGAGTATAAATCCCCAAAGACCTTCCAGGAGCAAAAAGTAACAGCAATAAAGCAAAAGCAGGAGTGTGAGCAGTGTGGTTCAACCAAAGAACTATTTGAGGCCAGCAGACACTGAGTACCCTACCTGCAATGGTGCAGAGCCCCGTGACCACCAGCATCAGGACGGTGGAGAGGTAAAGGTCCCAGCCCAGGCAGACTTGCACAAAGAAGGCCCCCTAGTACAGGTCAGTCTGTGCGTGGAAGAGGAAACACAGGGGCTGGGGAAGGTGACATCCACTTCCTAGAGAGCACCCAAGGGCTGCCCCAGGAGCAGAACAGCAGGGAAGCGATCAAAACCATGGGCACAGCAAGGATGTTGTGTTGCGTGTGCCAACAGGATACCTCCAAAGGCAGGTCTGAGGCTGGGGTCCCGTATGGGACCCGTATGGTGCTGCTGCAGATGGGTGTCACAGGCCACCTACCTCCAAAGAGCAGCACAAGCAGTTCCAGTCATCCGTAACTGGGCTCAGTTGGATGCAGACAGTGGGATGGAAGGGTCAGAAAGGGGATGTTTTGGAGCATCAGTGCTGCCACAGCCTGCACCGTGATAGCCCTCTGCAGGATCAGACCCTGACCTGAGCTACCTCCTTGCTGTCCCGAGTACCTCCAGTTCCAATGCCCTGTTCTCAAGTTGCATCTCACCAGGAGAGTACAGAGCCCTGGAGATGGGGCTGGTACCAGCACCCCTGTGCTGGTTCTGCACCCCAGGGGTGGCTGTAGCTAGGCAGGAGTCACCCTCCTGGCACCCATGCTGCTGGCATGAGGCTGCCAAGGACCAGCTCCCCCATTCCTTGCTCTAGCTCAATGGTCTGGGCCATCAAACCACTCAGAAGGGTGGCAGGAGCCTAAAGATGCTGCTGGGGCAGGAGGGGCAGGGACTTTGGGGTGCTGCTGGTACCTGATGGATAGGGAAGCTTTGCACCACCTCACCTGAGCCATTTAGAGGTGCTCAGGTGGGTGCTGGTGAGGCAGAGGAAGGTGCTCCCCTGATCCCTGATGGCTGCAGCAGCATTTCAACCTCTGCAGCCGCTCCATGGTGAGGAGCAGACATGGGCAGCCCCAGCATGGAGCCCAAAACCTGCTCCTCAACAAGAAGCCACCTCTTTGCTGAGCATCTCTGGGAAAGCACCTCCTGGGTTTGCACCGATGGGGAAGTCAAGGCACGGGCAAGCGGCAGGAGATGCTTTTGGCCCTGAAGGAGAAGCCCAAAGGTCCTACACCCCGACATGAAAGAGCACAAATGCATCCTCCAGCAGATCCCCTGGCCTTTGCAGCTCCCCTTGCAGAGCCCCTGGAGGAGGTTTGGGGTTTCTGCTTAGCCATAGAAGAACAGATCAACTCCATGACCTGGACCGGCCCCATCATCTCCTGTT